TACATTTTCCCATGCTTGTCGGAAGCGAAATGACATTCTAGGATAACGCGTAATAGATTAGTTAATTGGGTTATTGATTTTCGAGAAACAATAGCGTCACGAATATCTTGTTGATCTGGTACATACCCACACCACACAATCAACGTGTCCCACTGTTGATCAGAGATCCCGATTGGCTATAGAAAGTATCTGCTATGAGAAAAAACTAGAGATTAAAATCGATAACCGAAAGAGGGGTGGAAAGCGGTGATCTCTGGTATTATAAACAATCGGGGAGGTTGAATGCCATAGTCTTCACATTGACCGCCCGATAACTTTCAGCTCATAGGTCAAATCCCCTGTCCAAAATGACATTTTACCGATCAACTGGAATGGAGAGTTGGTGGTGGTGGCCGGGGGATCTGTGACTGCAACCATGGTGAGTCCAAAAGGTTAAAATAAGTTCCTAATTTTAGGACAACACAGAACAATCAGCGGTTGTTTGACATGGCAACCCTAAAGAATGCGGTCAATGACATCCATCTGACACCCGCTGCCTATCATTGCTGCGTATTGACCAAACAGTAGTTACGTAATATCTGAGGCATTGGAAAGATGCAATAAATTTGATCGTTATTATTATTACTATTACGTCACAAACACCGTAAATAAATCATCTGTCGTATTGAGACTATTGAAGTGGCTAATTTCTTAGTGCTTTTCGTGTACTCAAAGAAGTAACTATTCCATTTTGATCAATGATGTTTGTTTTCATTTTTGTTGGATATATAGTCTAATTTGGGTACCGGGTTATGATTGACAAAACGGAAATGAGAGAGCTGAGTAATGTTTTTTAACAGCACAACAAATGATTTAATTATTCCCATAAGAACATTAAAGTATTTCTATCTTTCAATATACAGTAATTCATGATATGAACTCCAAGCAACGTCTACTTCTGAAAAACCCTGGAGGTTATGTTTTCGAACTTGTTCATAATCATCAGTCTTACCGTATCCGTTGGATCGAACACGTAACAGCAGTGAAACAGATCACTGACAACTGGCTTATAGGGCCGAATTTGGCCAAATACACTGGGCTGAATTCAAATGTGAGTGCCTAGTATGGGCATAGGTTGCGGATGATTCAAACCGGGCTGTGTGAAGTTGCTCGAAAATGTTTTACAGCGGTAAAAGATTACCTTTTCAACACAATGCATATTGATCATAAAATTGTGGAAAAATGATCAACTCCACCCAATTGTTATGTTGAACAATCCTAGTGAAAACCATGATGTTGAGATGAGAATCTCTAACTTTATGTGCCCCCAAACTTCGCTTACTAAATATCTTGCTGTGGCTAGATTATATGAGTTGTCTCCCACAATTTGGATGATTTATCCGCGCAAGAATAATCCACGATTGCGTGTGACGAAATCAGCAAACCCACCTCCGCATTCTCATTCTCATGATGATGATGATGATGATCATCATCATACTTGAATGAACACGTGTTACCAGGTTGCTATCTATTCACTTGGAAGGGCTGGTAACAAGTGATTTCACCATCTAGTTTCTCTTTCTCCCCCACCCCCGTCCCCTCCCCCCCCCCCNCATTGAACACAGGTCAAAATGTTAATCCAGCCGGTGAACCAATTTGTCGATTCTCTCTAGCTCAAATGTTGCGTGATTGGGAAAAATCACGCAGAGTTGTCACCGGTCTACCGAACACATGCTTCCGGAACACTCTCCCCACATCACAGCCCCTTCTCTCCCACACACACACACACACACAGTCCAATCGCGATGTGGTCAAAACAAGCGTGATTTAGGAGCCCGGAAACAGATGTACTGCCACAGTCTATGGCTAAATAAATTATGGTTGCATCTGAAGCATTCCCCGATTTACTGTGTTATTGTCGGATCCAATTCACTTTTCGAGGATAGACAGATTTTTGTATGTTGCAAACGTGAACCAATTGGTCACTGGAGAAGAAGAAGAGGTTTTGTCGTGGTACTTAAGATTACTTTTATCTTTATTTGCCAAGTTTTAATTGTATAGCCATATAAATTGCATTGATCGTATCGGCTTGGTGACGATTGGGAATAGAACAAGAAAACCTCATAACCTCTATTTTATTCTGGATAGCATTGTATTTGAAAGCCTTTAAAGTGACGGTTTAATCAGATACTGCCATTACCACCACATACAACAACTACTATTGCTACCGCGGGATTCTTATGGCAGCTTGATTCTTGGCTTTCTTGGAGGGGGGGGGGCACATGCATCACTTGAGCACGGAGTCACAGTTCGCTTCGGTAAGTACTTTTTCTGAGAATTATCAAGTCCAATCTGGTGTAAATGTACCATCTGTGAATGATTTATGGATCAGTACTATACATGTACACGTAGGTGCTTCTGTTATCCAGATGGATGGACCATATAAGGCAGAATAAGTGGAGAAATGGATTTCCTTACACAATTTAGCTACGTCGAAATGGACAACTCAAACTGCGTTCCTTTTTCTTTTCATTTCTACTTCCTTTTATTTAATACATAATAATACAACACGTAATGGGGAAATTCAGCCGGTGGTGCTGGTGAGATTCGAACAAACGTTTTCCGGGGTGATAATTTGGTGATGTTACTACCGGGCCACCACTGCCCGTCACCGCCTTACGCAACTAATGGTACATAAAGCCTCCTGAATGTAATCCACATGTGATTCGATACTCCTGAACACCGTTGTGCCGATCATAAATACAAGGAGGAAAAACATTTCCGTATATCGAATGTTAGAGTGTGGTTGATGATCAATGCCATTCTGAGATACTTCATGTTTGGGGAATAAAATCTTTATAAACCAGATGCATATATAATTTCTCAGAATGCACATAATCCCATCGAAAACTCCTACGCTGACGCAGGTTCAATCGACTCTTTGCAGGGAATATGAAGGCTGTATGAAGATCATCAACGTTGTTCTGGGAAGTGAAGGTATAGTAAGGGACAAGAGTCCTCTCTAGTTTCATTCACCTTTTCATACGGTGCGCAAGTGAGTGTAGACTGCAGTGAGACAGTGTATTGGTACTTGATTACCAGTAGGAGATTATTCGCCACTCGGTAGTTGGAAAACCTACTCAGAGAATGATGCATTATTTTTAATTGGTTTTCCATAGTACATAGTTCAGATTCATTGAGCTACAATGGAGAGTAAGACAAGGTGAAGTATGTCCCAAAGGACATGACAATTTACATGTTTAGTGTTCGCTCTCCTATTAGATGTCTTTCACACCTCCGTGAGAAAGTCTTTCTGCACATAGTTCTTTCTACATATCTTCAACTAGGACATATTTATCGCATGAGAACAGGAGAGGATTCGATCTATTTATATGGTGTATTTTATCGTGTATGGAGCNAGGTGCTGAGGTTCCGGGTTCGATCCTCAGTTGGGGCGATGGATTGGTACTGTTGCTGATGAGACCAAATCAAGTCGAAACACCTGTACAGCAGCACTTCCTGGCTTTTCAATTCACGCTTCATTTACTCCATACACGACAAAATTCACCAATGTAGGAAATATTTCCCTTACAATGTTTTTCCTATAG